CCTGCTCTCTGTCCTGCTGTGGGGCATCAGGCAACTCCCCTTTGCTCCTTTTCTCTTTGTGGCCCCCACGTGTTGCTGGCATTTGGCCTTGAAGGGGCTGTAAGATCTGCTTAGTTCTGTGCTCTTTAAAAGGAGAGACTAGGGGTTTGCAGGGCACAAAGGGAGGGGAGGGGAGTGGCTGGAGCTCCTCGGTTTGTAGCTAAATCAACTCCAGGAAGCCTGGACCCAGCTGGGAGCCACTCAGTGGGGCAGCCTGGTAGATACCCCTGGGTTGGCCCTTGACCATCGGCAGACCTCTGCTCCTTGACCTGACCAGGGCTCTGCTCAAGCCTGAGGTTTCAGGGGTCAAGTCTGGGTTTTGGGCAGGTATTGACTAGGCTGAGGGCCCTTGGGGGTGGGATGGAGGAAGCCTTTAGGTCAGGGATACACACATGACATTCTCCGGTCTTGGATACACCACACCCTCAAATGTGCCTACGCAAGTACACATCCCTGTCCCTGAGAATATGCCCATGCTAACTCCTTAAAGAGTCTCTGCTCTTTGGGCCTAGCCATTCTGTTTCCAGCCAGCACACTCAGTGTCAGCTGGGACAAGGCCTGGCTGCTGAGCCCAGCCCCAGGCAAAGCCCCAGACTGGGGGGAGGGTCTGGACACTTCGTCCTAGCACAGCCTCCTGTAGAGTCTGGACTCCAGCCCAGAGGCCCTGGATCAGGGATGAGGGGCTGGGCCCAGGGTGTGCAGGAGGAGTATCTTTGGGAGGGGACTCTCTGAGACCCTGCTTCCTGTGTGGCCTGGGCAGCTCTTCCTACCACCCTCCCACCCCACCACTTTAGTTCAGGGCAGAGGTTGGAGTCAGGGATCCCCAAACTCCTTTAGGGACTCTGCGATTGTCTGCTGAAGCCCCAGCATTTCTAATTGGGCGTTGGTAGCCACAGACTCTGGGTGGATGAAAGGTGAGGCCCCGGGAATGGGTGTGTTGGGGGTGGGACTGGGCAGCTATGAGCTGGCCTCTAGGGCTTTCTCCTGGTTTGCAGCTCAGTTCAGCCCAAGACCGGCTCCTGTGGGTCCCAGACCTGATCCCCTCCCCTTGAGATTCTGCCCTGCTTAGAGCAGACCACGCTGACCACACTGCTCCCCTGCTGGCCACACTGACCACACTGCTTAGAGCTGACTCTGCTTAGAGCTGACTCTGCTTAGAGCTGACCACACTGACCACACTGCTCCCCTGCTGGCCACACTGATCACACTGCTTAGAGCTGACTCTGCTTAGAGCTGACCACGCTGACCACACTGCTCCCCTGCTGGCCACACTGCTTTGAGCGGACTCTGCTTTGAGCTGACCACACTGACCACACTGCTCCCATGCTGACTGTTCTTCCTGCTGACCCCTCTCCCTGCTCACCAACCCCTGCAGAATGAATCTAGCTCCTGAGCCAGTGTTCAAGGCCCAGCAGGATGTCTTGTCCCCTTCCCACCCCTCCGGATCCCCTCTTCCCTACCTCCCTGCTCCATGAGGAGAACAAGGTGTTTCTGGAATGCACAGTACTCTTCCTCTCTCCAGCAGGCTTTTGCATAGGCTATTCCTTCTTCCTGAAGGCCCTTCCTTGCTGTGTTAGTGTCCCCACTGCTGCCTGCCATCCTGCCTCAGTCTTCAGTTCTGGTCTTGTTACTGTGTCCTTCCTTGCTCACAGGATTCAAAACAGATCTGCTTATTTTTAGATAATACTTGTTTGGTTAGAGCAGTGAAATAATTGGTATAACTCAAAGAAGCTACTCCCTGTCCCCAAATAGCCTCTTTGACGGCCCATGATGTCAGACATGCCAACTTTAAGATTTTGATCTTTTGAGGACGTTAACATTATCCTTCTTATGGGTCCCCGATGAACACACACCTACCACTGTGCAGGGAACCTTTTACAGTAAGGCTGGCAAACAGAGCTCATAGGTTGCCACTCATAGGTTCCCATACCCTTGATAGACATCACTAATCAACCACAGGGTTCATTCCCACTGAATTTGAACTCAGCCCTTGAGTCCTCAATACAATCTTGGAAGTGGATTCTACCAATTCACCAGAACTCGTTTGTGATTTGAAACAAATTTGTGCTGGGGTCTCTGGGCTCCAGGATCATTCAATCTATGCCCCTGTCTCCTAATGGGGCATCTCCAAGCCTCAGGGAGAGAACACCCACTCCACAGAGACTTTACCAGCCTCCTCTGGGTTTCTTGACTTTGAGGCTTCGAGGCAGGCAGTGGGGGTGACAGCATGAGTGAGCCCCACCACTTGCTTGTTTGAACCTGCCCAGTCGCTCATGAGCTGTGTGGCCTTAGGCCCATTCCTTACCCTTTCTGAGCTCTAGTTGCTTTACCAATAATAACTGCCTCCCTAGTCAGGAGCATTAAATGAAATCATGGTTTGGAAGCCCAACATACAGTACGTGCTCCGTATCTTGACCCTCATCTACTCACTCCCTCCAGCCTAGAGGTGATGGACATGATTGACCGACTCACACCTGACCTCATTTCCTGGTTTTGCCCTGAGTCCACTTCCTACTCCCCTCTGTTCATCTCCAGAAGGAAATCTCATTCACTGCCTGCCTGGCCTGGTCCCACAGGCCCTGATTCCTTCTCTTCCTAGTATGTACACCTGCCAGGATCTGACTGTTATAGTGTGGCCTCACACGGGCAGTCGGGAGGTCCCTGAATGAATTTAGGGACCTTTGGGTTCATTCCCTGCCACAGAGAGATAAGACTGATGATCAGATTGTGGACCAAGACTTGCCAGTATCCCATGGAGCTCCTGCTTTTCCTCCAGGAAGCCTTCTATGATTTCTCCACCCAACATCATCTTGGATCTGGCTAGGATGGGCTTTTCAGTATCACCAGCCAGAAGCCAAACTCCTCAAGGCAAGACTTGTTTCCTAGAACATTCCTTCCCTAGGGTTATTTGGCTTCTGGCTCATCCTGGTACCTGCTTCTATGGCTTGAACTCTCAGGTGCTTTTCTCCCTGACTTCTCCCCTCTCCAAGCTTGACTGTGGAGTGTGGTAGGGGCTGTGGGGTCAGAAGGAGCTGGCCTCACTCATATCCTGCTTTTACCTCATACTGTAACCTTGAACTGACAACTCAGCCTCTCTCAGCCTGTGTTTCCATCTGTGAAATGGGCATTCTTTTAGTAGCTTCAGTGCTGCTGAGGGATATAGCAGGCATGGGTCCACATGGGTAAGGGGCCCAAGAATTTTCACAAGCTGGTGGCCACTGTGTCCCCCTTGCGTTCCTGAGGCAGCAGCAGAGCTGTGAGTCATCTAGCTTTGGGCGAAAATAAGCACGGTCCCCTACAGCTTCCTGCCCCCATGTCCGGCCCTTGTTCAGCAGCACAATTACTCAGGTCCTGAATGCAGAGTGGGTAGTTTAACCCTCTCAAGGCCAGTGGATACCTCCCCGACTCCTCGCCCCTGGAGATTACCTGCTGCCCTCTGGAGCTGAGTTGAGATCCTCTCGCTTTCGCCTCCTCCCTCTCACCAGCTGAGGACCAACAGACTCAGGGGCCAAAACCTTTATGACATTCACAACCACAGTCAGCTCTGGGGTAGCAGGTAAACACAGCTGTGATTTCTTGAAGCTGCCACACTCTGAGCTCTCCTGGGAGCAGGTGTGTACTTCTCCGTATTAAAGTGACTCATGAAGAGACCATATCCTTTATTTTATGGTTGAGAAAGTTGAGACATGGAGAAGAAAGAGCCTGAGCTTTGGGCTTTTGGGTACAGGATCCTGGTTTGAACTCTCCACCCCAGCTCTTTTTTTTTATTCTCACCTGAGAACATTTTTGCATTTATCTTCAGATAGAGCAGGAGGGAGAGAGAGAGGAAGAGGGAGAGAGAAACATCCATGTGAGAGAGACACATCGAGTGGTTGCCACCCACATGACCCCCAACCGGGGCCGGGCACAAACTGCAACCGAGGTACATGCCCTTAGTGGGAACCAAACCCGGGTCTCTCTGGACCACAGGCCAATGGCTCTAACTGCTGAATCAAACCCGCTAGGGCTCCACCCCAACTCTTACTTAACTTCTCCAAATCTCAGTTTCCTTCATGAGAAGTAGAGAAGGCTGTATGTAACTCCTGGGGTGGTTGTTGGTAGTTAAATAATGAGCTCCATTGTTTAACAGTCTTCTATGCATTGCCCCCAGCTCCCACAGGGAATTGTATAAAGACTCTGCCTCCATTGTTCCCATAAGCAAACTGAGGTTTGATAATGTGGAATCATTTTTCCAAAGTCACAGGGGGAGGCGAGTGGTAGAGCTGGGATCTGCACCCAGGACCACCGTCCCCAGGCTGGGCTCTCAACCTAGACCACTGCCTTCAAGTCCTTTTGAGAGACTCCCCTAAAATATGAAGGTCATGGGTATCTGGGTGTCAGGGAGAAAGGGTGGGCCACCTTCCTGACCCTAGCTTCCACAGCTCTGAGTGGGGCAGGTAGGGGAGGGGCTTCCTCAGCCTCAACTTGTCTATTCTGAAAATGGGGGTGCAGGCTGACAGAGGGGCTGAGGCTCAGAGCTCCCCTTCTGGCATTCCTCTCCCAGTCCCAGCACAGAGTCTTCGAAGGAGGGCATGACAGGCCCCAGTTAATCGTCTCCCATGGGGGAAGGGGCACCAAGGGGGAGCTTAGGGTTGGGTGCCAGTCCTCTGGCTGTGGTGTGCTGGGCAACTCAGGCAGCATTCTGCCCTTCTGAACCCAGCACCAATGGGAAGTAAAATGAGTGGGAGAGTCTACATGTGGGAGAGCCTAGCTCTTACCCTCTCCCTCAGCCCCGAGGACACCCGTCTGTGTACTTCCCAGCCCTGCTCTGTGCCAGGAGAAGACCGTCTGTCCCGAGGACTGGATCTTCCTCTGGACCCCAACAGCAAACACTCTACAGAAGGGGTAGAGGCAAGAACCCTCCTGTCTTGGACACATGGCAATGGGTCTGGGTGGATTGGGGTTGGGGAGCGCTCACTCACCGTGCTGTGGGCTGAGGCTCCGTGTCCGTCAGCCCTCTGTCCAGGCCCAGTGCTGTGTGGCTCTGGAGCTCCGCTGATGGAAGAGGCCACACCCGGCAGCCTGGGAGGCCGCCGCCCCTTCAGGTTTTCCAGCTGGCCCTGGTCCACTTCCCCCCGGCTGGTTTCCTGTTATTGTTTCTTTGTGAGGGCCTGGCTGGCTGCAGATAGGCAGGCCCCGTAGTGGGCGGCAGCCTCGGCCCAGCCAGGCTGTCCCCATGGAGGTCGAGCCCGGGACCTGCCTGGGACACACAATTCACACCCCAACTCCAGGCCTCAAATGTGGGGCCATAAACTCATCATCCTTCTTGTAACTCCAAGAGTAGGTATCATTTTATAGCTCAGGACAGCTGTGTCATAGCAGAGTTGGAGCTCTAGCCTGGGTCAGCCTGGGCCCAGAGCCAGATTAATCCCAGGTGACCTCCTGACACACTGGGGGAAGGCACACTTTGCAGGATTTGGAAAGGCTTCAGGGGCCTTGGGGGTGGGGTGGGTGGGAGAAGGGAAACAGACGGCAGCTCTTGGATCTGGAGGGCCCATTGGCTTCTCCACGGTAGGGGTGGGCAGGGGGTTCCAGCTCAGAGTGCCATTCTGGGCTTGAGGGGCTGTTTGGGTTTAGGAATATAAGGTAGAGTTAAGTGCCCTGGTTCTACTTCTGATGTGACCGTGGGCCAGTCATGTCCCGCTGAGCTTCAGTTTCCTCATCTGTAAAATGGGGATAATCAGAGCCTTAACCCCACAGGGCTGTTGGGATAAACAAGATTCAAACTGCAGCTTGTGAGATAGGGAAGTTGAGGCAGGACCAGAGCTCCCTGGAACCAAGAAGCTGGATAGGGGCTGGGTGTCTTAGATTCATATAAAAGTCGTATAAGGAGCTTTTACAAACTACAGATGCCGGGGACCCACCCCAGGCCAACTGGTTTGGAATCTCCCAGGGTGTGCAGCGGGAGTCTGTCCTTTGAATAGTTGCCCCTGTTTTTCCGTGGATGGTTTTGTTACACAGCTGGACAGAGACCAGAAAGGGAGAGGCCTTGCCCAGGCACTCAGTTCATCAGTGGACACTGTTTTGGAGATGGGGCATGGCATTGGGGGATATTTGAGGGAAATGGGGAGATAAAGATTTCTCTGTTTTGTGCGTGTTGTGTTTGGGATAGCCCTTGGACACCCAGGTGGTGATGTCAAGTTGGCAGTTGGAGGTGTGTGGATACAGGTAGCCTGGAGATGAGGTTTGGAAGCTGGGAGCTTCCTGATGGCTGGCACCTGAAGCCATGGGAATGGACGGGCTTACAGGGAGGGAGGCCTTGGACCTCTGAGATTTGTGAAGAGGCCCATCGAGAAGGAGGGAAGCCAGAGGTAAGAGCAGGGTGTGTCAGCCGGGTCAGCTTTGGAAAAGTGAGGGTGGATTTGGAAGAGGGAGGTCATCGATCACTGTGATAGGGCAGGGGAAATGGAAAGGAGTAGACAAGAAGGTTAGAGGGGCCAGTGCAGTGGGGGTGAGGGAGTGGGGGCACATGTGCCCCGACTTGCAGTGAATGGGAGCAGAGAAATGGGACGTTTTCTGTGTGTGTGTGTGTGTGTGTGTGTGTGTGTGTGTGTGTGTGTTTTATCCTCACCCGAGGACATTTTTCCATTTTTTGTTCAGACCAAGCAGGAGGGAGAGAGAGGAAGAGAGAGAGAGAGAGAGAGACATCGACGTGAAAGGGACACATTGAGTGGCTGCCACCCGCACGACCCAACCAGGGCCGGGACAAACTGCAACTGAGGTACATGCTCTTAGCGGGAACCCAACCCTGGTCTCTCTGTACTGCAGGCCGATGCTCTAACCACTGAACCAAACTGGCCAGGGCTGTGTTGTTTTTTTTTAAAAGCTATGTTTGTGTGCTGAGGGGATGTCCAACAGTTGGGGAAGCCAGGTGATGCTGGAGGGAGAAGGGCAACCTGCTGGAAAGGGACAGTCTGGAGACGGCCTCTGAATGGGATCCAGCACATTGGATCATTGTGACATCATGTCCTGAGAGTCTTTGACCTGGTGCTGGTGGCAGACCGTGATGGGTCTGTCCTGGCACCATGTGCCCATTCCCTTTGTGTTCCCAGTCTGTGGGGAAGTTGACTCTGCCCTGAAACCCCTGTCTCCTGTCATGTTGTAAACAAGTGATGGCTGTCCAGGCATATGCCCCTGGGGTGGGGATAGGGTCCTCATGCAGAGGTAGTCCAGTCCTCAGGAGGGAGGCTTGTGTTCCTGAGGGTCTCATGCCCTATTTCTGCTACTTTCCATCCCCTGCTCCAATCCCTCTGGAGGCAGAGGAGATAATAGGAAGGCATAAGGCCAGGAAGTGCCATCAGGAGCAAAGGAGGCAGTTGGTAGGCGGGAAGGAAACGGGATGGTGTGCGAGACCTGATTAGCCACTAGAGGAGGAAGCAACGATGGGGATGGTGGGGAGGCCTGGGGATACCCACCCAGCCTCTTCCAGGACAAAAGCTGCTCAGGGAGGGAGCCCTGGCACATCCTGCTTGGAGAGGCCTGGACTTGGGGGTTGGCAGACCCAGCTGAGATACTCCCTGGCCCATTGTTTGCTATGTGATCTGGAGCCGTTGACCTGCTTCTCTGAGCCTCATTTTGCACCTGTGAAGTGGGTTACCAGGTCAGACTTTATAGAACTGCCCTGAGTATCAAGTGGGACAACAAAAATAAATGATGGTAATAACAAGCATTTATTTATTTATTTTATTTACAATTTTATTGATTGATTTTAGAGAGAAACATCGATTTGTTGTTCCATTTATTTATGTATTCATTGGTTGCTTCTTTTTTGTTGTTGTTAATCTGAGGATGTTTTTTCTATTGATTTTTAGAGAGTGGAATTAAGGGTGGGAAGGGAGAGAGAAAAAGATAGAGAGAGAGAGAAAGAGAAACATCAATGTGAGAGAGATGCATTGATTGGTTGCTTCCTGCATGTGCCCCGACCAGGGCCACAGATCAAACCCACAACCCAGGTATGTGCCCTTCACCAGAAATTGAACCTGCAATCCTTCAGTGCATGGGGTGATGCTCTAACCACTGAGCAACACTGGTCAGGTCATCAGTTGGCTGCTTCCGGCATGCCCCCAACTGGGGATCGAGCCTATAACTTGGGTATGTGCCCTGACTGGGAATCAAACTGAGACTTCTCAGTCCAGGGACAATGCTCAATCCACTGAGCTACACCGGCTGGGCCATTGGTTGCTTCTTGTATGTGCCCTGACTAAAGATTGAATGGGTAACCTTGGCATATTGGGATGGTGCTCTAACCAACTGAGCTACCTAGCCAGAGCCACAATAAGCATTTATTGAGTAGATGTTTCTTCACCTGCCTCAGAATCACTTGGGGAGTGTGTATTGAAATGTAGATTCTTGGGCTCCTCCCCAGGCCTGTGGAGTCAGGATGGCTGGCAGTAGACCCCTGAGACCTAGTGTTTGTAGCTCCCAGGCAATGTGTGCACACTCATGGTTGAGGACCGCGGCCTGTGTGTACTGGCAGTGCACTGAGGTCTCGCCAGGACTCCTCCTTCAGTCTCCAGACAGCTCTGGGGGATGGCACTATTGTCATCCCCACTGCACAGATGAGGAAACAGAGACTGGAAATTCAGTGCTCACTACGTACGATCAGAGCTCGAGGTAATGGAACGGAAATTCTGAACCGGGCCTCCTATTCCAGAGGCCATCTTCTCACCCACCAAGCTCTCCTGTCCCTGTGTATGTAACAGTGGGGAATTGTAACCCACCCCACCATTCTTTTGACATTGTTTCTGTAAGTGCTGACTTTGACTAATATGTAGCTTGTAGATAAACAGCATGTTTGTGTAAGAATCCTAGGAACTAACTTCAGAAGAGGCAGTCCCTGACTTTCATCATCCCAGTTCCAGGAGATCTGCTAACCTTCAAATGTAAAACCAGATGACGCAGAATCAGACCATCACTTGAACAGTTTTGAGATTCTTATTAGAATGAACTGTACTAGCTTGGATATAGAGAACCCTCTTTTTTTTTGAAAGGTGGCATTAAAACAATTTTGTTACTGTTGACAGTATTACAGATGTCCCCCATTCCTCCCTCTTCCCCGCCTCAATTCAACTCCTGTCCTACCCCAGGCCTTCATCACACTGTTGTCTGTGTCCATGTGCTGTGCATATATGCACATATATATGTCCTTTGGTTAATCTCTCTTACTATCTCCTCAACCTCCCTCCCCTCTGAGATCTGTCAGTCTGTTCCATGCATCCATGTCTCTGGACCTATTTTGATCGTCAGTTTATTTTGTTAATTAGATTCCACATATAAGTGAGACTATGTGATGTATGTCTTTCTCTGACTGGCTTATTTTCCTTGGCATAATAATCTCCAGGTCCCTCCATGCTTTTGCAAAGGGTAAGAGATCCTTCTTTTTTTTATAGCTGCATAGTATTCCACTGTGTAAATGTACCACAGCTTTTTTATCCACTCATCTACTGATGGGTACTTGGGCTGTATCTAGATATTAGCTATTGTAAATAATGCTGCTATGAACATGGGGGTGCATATATTCTTTCTGATTGGTGTTTCAGAATTCATAAGATTTATTCCCAGAAGTAGGAACACTGGGTCAAATGGAAGTTCCAGTTTTAATTTTTTGAGGAAACTCCATACTGTTTTCCACAGTGGCTGCACCAGTCTGCATTCCCACCAACAGTACATTAGGGTCCCCTTTTCTCTACATCCTCACCAGCACTTGTTTGTTGATTTATTGGTGGTTGCCATTCTGGCAGCTATGAGGTGATACCTCACTGTAGTTTTAATTTTCATCTCTCTGATGATTAGTGAGTTTGAGCATTTTAAAAAATGTTTATTGGCCAACTGTATATTCTCTTTGGAAAAGTGGCTATTCAGATCCTTTGCCCAGTTTTTAGTTGGATTGTTTGTTTTCTTGGTATTGACTTGTATACGTTCTTTATATAATTTGGAAATTAATCCCTTATCAGATGTATCATTGGCGAATA